CTTGATAGAATTTTTCACTCCTGTTTTCCAAAGCTAATTTCAATGAATATTAAAAACAAAGGAAGAGAGGGACATAATCTCCTTATTAATCATATTATGATATGAAAACTGAAATAGCATGTTAATATTTAAACTTGTTTGCATATTTCCTTTATTCCCAAATGGTAGAATTTCTTCTGTTTCATTTTTTTTCCTTATGAATGGAACTTAGGATGTTGAGTGCCGAACTTTGAATTCTCAGTAATGGTGGTATTTTTACAGTATGGCATTGCTGGACCCATGGCTAATCTTCCTTTTTGTCAAGGCTTAACACTGGCTAAGTAAGGTTTGGGAATGCATTGACCGAGAATTGAGCCCGGACCATGTGAGTGGTTGGTGAGCACCAAACCAGTGAACCACTACAGCCTGCTAAAAGGCTGTTACTACAATTAATTAATTAATGGGACACCACAGAAGAAGCCAGCTTAGTTTTAGAAGATTAAAATTCACTTTTCTTTAATTTTGCGTCGGTGGCACAGTGGTTAGGACTCTCGCCGACCATGCACATGGTCCGGGGTTCGATCCGCTGCCAACGCACACGTGGTATCTATGGTCAGCCTGCAAAATTTGGGCTACCGATATCCATGCTGAAAATTCCATACTTGTACTTAAAATACGGTGTGGAATCAAGCTGTAAATCAAAATAAATAAAAAGTAAATAAATCCAACATTCGTGTACGATATTACGGTAAAAAAACTCACTGGAACAATAGTTTTGTTTCACGTAAAAGATTATCGAAAAATACTAACTACAAGTGTCCGGATTTCTAGGCTTATTCTTCTGTCATCCTGAAATTAGTATCAGGGCAGATATCTCAGTTGGTAAATTAAAAAAATATCCAGTACCAAGTTTTCTGCTAGATATTTTCCACGCCCAAGTATAAGTATACTTCAAAAAGCATATAAGATAGTCTCTTATCTTCAGGAAGTTGAAATACGGTAGATTATTTTTCTGATAACAGGTTTTATAATCTAGTACAAGTATGTAAAGATGATAAATTTCAGAGTTGAAATCATGCAAAGAATGCAATATGCATATCTTATATATCTCATTGTACAACTGTTTAGTGTCTCTTCAGAACACGTTACATAGCATTAAAATATTTTTCTACTGAATACAAAATATATTGTGCGCATACAGACTTCCGCAAAAATTGCAAAGTAAATCTACCAGCTCTGTTATCCTTTTGAAAAGTCATGACATTACATTAACTAGTTCCACTACTAACTTTTTCAGAGCAAATCGGTTAGTACTTCAAAATATTTCTCTTTTTAACAATCAGATTGTAGAGATAGTTAGAGAACAAGTTTCGAAATACTCAAAGAGTCTATTCAGAATCTCCTTATTAAGAAATTAATCTCAATTGTGAATGTGTCCTGAACTCACAAATGTAGAATATTTTAGGATGGTTATATCTGAGATTTAATGAACTCCGATTAATTTGATTTAGGTTCAATCATGTATTGATAACATTTAGAGAACGACTGAAAATCAGGGAGTTCTGTACAGCTGTTTCGATCTGGTTTGATACTCTTCAGGAGTGCGCATCCACTGTGAGAATCCATAAACCACTGAATCGGGTCCCAGTAGCCGAAATGCCTACGAGCTTGTCTTGTAACCGGAAGATCATGGGTTCGTTCCCAGTGGATGCTTACTGCCGAAGCGTCAAAAACTCGGATGAAAAAGCAGTGCTGTACCCTCTATTTTTCAATGGTCTTCTAAATGATATAAATCAGTTATCAAACTTGAAACAGATGGAATGCCTACAACTTAGTTCTTGAATATTCTGGCTTAATTTTCATCAACGTACAATACAGCAGAGAAAACTTAAATGAGTGCACAACTTTCACTATTGACCTAACATGTCTTCATGTGTTTATTCGATACTACAGTAGGAGAAAAACGTGAGCTATTTCTGAATGTAGGTGGCGCCAAAGAGCTGCTTACATGCAGTTACGTACAACAGAACCTTTTACACCCATTTTGACTTTTAATACTAACAAATGTGTTCCTTCTTCATGTGTATTAAAACTAGTATGTGAAATAACGAGATATATCACCTTTGAATTGTTTACTGTCTCTGAAACCGCTTACTGACTTCTGAGCGTCAATTATCTTCATTATTATTCCTTTGTGTTTTAAGTGGAACATGAAGCTTCAGCTTTCGTCTCCTCTTCACCTAGTTTGCTAGTAGGGAAGATCAGGCATGGGGACAGTAATCCTACTATAGAAAATCAATCCAGTCACTACAGAAATCTCGAAATACACAGAATACTGTATATGAACTTTAGTTTTTGGTTAAAAACGTATATTGGTGTTAAGCAATCGACACGATTGCCTATTATGTTTTCAAAAATCTCGACTTATAAATTGTCGAAACCATTAGGTTCTACTGACTACTACTTAAAAGAGTGACAGAGTAGAAATAAGCCAATGACTTATTCACACAGTTTGTCCAAAAACGATTTCAATTAGATTTCTGACTCTTTCATATAACCGTTTTTAATATCATGTTGTCCACAAGTAAATGTTTCCAGAAACAGGATCCATGTTGAATATCTGTGGGTATTTACCTAATGAATGTTTTATTTGAACTGAAAAATAGATATATGTTTCATCTATCGTGGAAATCAATGTTTGACTTTTATGTTTCATATAGTACATTAAAATACCTTCCTAAGTGTTAGATAGTAATACATTTTCTCTATCACTGATAACTCACAGGCAGACTAACATAAATATTCATAGTATCTTGGTGACGATTACTAGTTTCTCTTGGTTGGTGGTGACTAGCAGTCGAATTTAGGATACGCACTTCGTCTCATTCCCGACTCGTCAGATGGATTCACTTGAATCTACAGTGAGCAATGATGATAATCCCACTGAGACTCAAACCCCAACCCAACGTTTCGAACGTTGAAGCATTATCCTCTAGAAATCTCGGGACAAACAGGAAGAAAAGCACATCTTGGATTCCACTGCTAGCCACCAACGACCAAAATATCTGCAAGTTAATCCTTGGACAACGTCAAAGCATCGTTACTAAGAGCCTGTATGTCAACAGAGGACGAGTATTACGGCACAACATAATCAAGCAATGGGAAATCTGAAATTAACTTAAAAACAGATTATTAGTTTCCTTTTACCATAGACCCTTCATTTTCATACTTAGTGATCAGTCTTTAAGTTCATACAAACTTTCGATAATTTATACTGAGGTACACTTTACTCACACTTGTATGCTTTCAAAATTATTTGCTATTTGTCCACATAGAAGGTAAATTTTCCATTTATTCGTGTCTGTTATCAGTGTCCGAATGAAACGTTTAAAATAGTACAGCTCCACTTGATTTGTAAGAAATGTTTACAATAAGAAAATGGGTGAGGGAAGTACCACATATGTTGAAATATACTTCCATGATATAACATGTATGCGAACAATATTATTTTCAATTAGATGATATCAGACTTTACCCTAATATGCAGAACTTTACACATAAATATTACCGAATATAAACCAGTCACGATGGAATCCAAGGTGAACATTTTACTCTACCCGACGTGCATCAGCTAGATGTGCTAGCAAAAGTCAGTGGGTAATTGTGTTCACAACGAGATTCAAATGCAGAACCCACTGTTTCAAAAGGTAAGGCGTTACACACTAGTCCACTTGGGTCACGACAGTCACCTCTTGGGCAACAAGATTGGGTTAAGTCAATTTTATTTTGTTCCGTTGATTGAATAAGCTGAAATTCTCAACACCAGCTAACATGTCAGCTACTAGTACGGACGATGTTACTTGGTGGATGGTGACTAGCAGTGGTATCTACGACGCATATTTCTCCCTGTTTGAAACCTGTCAGCCGGTATATCCAGCTGTTATTTGTTTTTTTTAAAGTTATTTTTATTTTCCCTGTTCAAAATAGGATGAAATAAACATCTCAAATTCCACTAATAGTCCCCATCCACCAAATAACATAAATGTTAATCCTCAGGCATCATCAAACCGTCCGTACTGGGAGACGACATGTTAATGGAGACCGTTCATTTCAATTTATTTTGATCAACTGAGAAAAAATATAAAATTAACTTTACCAAAATGCATTATTATCGAACAAATAAACTTTTACATAGACGTGGTAGATAAAGGCTAAGAAAAACAAGTAGTCAAATTAAGTAGACGAATATCGAGTCCACTGGGAGGACTCGATTAGATGTGATGAATCACTTGGATTGCTTCTGTTCTTTCCAGTGAGTGGCCACTGTCAGGTGAATGAGACGAAACGGAGCTTTCAATGATTCTTATCTGTCCTTTACCAGATCACGGCAGGTGTTTATTAATAAGTCGGCCAAGCTGTCTAGTAGCACACCTGATATAACAGTCTCCACATAGGTAGCTGAAATGATGAATACGCATAGATGTTGTAAAACTATCTAACTTATCCTTCGCTTGATTTACAGCCATTCACCGACTAGAAAATGACAAACACAGGTTCACTGCGTAAAAGGTTCTCTGTTTACTTCTGACTAGTCTGTGAGACAAGAATGTTCACTAAATCTACTTCTTCCGTGCCCTCTTTGTCTCTGATTTTCTATTCAAATTGTTCGTGTATTTCTTTATAGTCAAATAATGAAAGAAATTAAGACTACCTGACTCAGCATAAAAACACGTACCACAAAGCGATTGGAAATGAATCATACACTTTACTTTTAACTAGGTTAATTGAAACAGCTTCCGTTTCCAGGCCACAACATGACTAGATCAAGTGAAAACCATCTCATAAATTTAATCAGTAGTAATTCAAATGAACATATTTTAAAATAAAGCATATGCTTATGCATGCTCTTACTTTCATGCAACACTTCATGCTAACTGAAGCGTCAATTTCATTTTTCTATCATATCTTTTTCCAACTTTAATGTTCACGTGATAATGTGGAATATGCTAACTTGAGTTGATGTCAAACTGCTTGCATATTTATCTATTATACATACTCAAACTAACGCAGTAAAAACTTTTAGAAAAGAATGCAATACTAAGAAAATGAAAAACGAATGTCTGATTTTCATATCGACCAAAGAAAAAGGATAACTGCGCATATTGGTTATGCAGGAAATTCCGTTGAATCTTCACATCATTAGGTTAGAAAAATTTTCCCATTGGATTTAGGAGTTGTTTTTTATTTTGTTCACATCAGTGTAACGTGTTCAGGTTTATTATATCTGGCTTTACAAATATCATGACTTTTCAGTTACATAGAAAACAATGAGACATTTTTTTACACTATTAATCAATTTGCTCTGGATAGGATTTCTCGCTTAGCAAATTTAAGTTAAAAATTTATTAGTATCAGCTATCTGTAGTGAGAGTTGAAACAAAATGAAATTCTTTTATTTTAATTCACTACAATTCTTCTCTTTGTGTTTATGAATTCATTTCAAATTTAAACCATAGGATAATGACTTATTTTTGTTTGAGTCATTATTCCTGATCTATTCCAGTTCGTTTTTTCAAAATATTGATGACTATTAGGTTTAAAAGGCTAGCGAATCAGTAGTAAGCTTAATTTTCGACTGCTTATCAGGTAAGTGCTGATCTTGAAGCATTACTTCAAAGGGATTTGATGGGTTTTAAGTCCCACCAAGGACTGACACATGTTAGAGAACTAATGAAAGCCAAGGAGATTTGGACAGCTGTTATAACTTAATTTGGGACTATTCAGTAATACTAACTCGTGACTCCACAGACAGAGGTTAGAATTCATGGGTCATTGGATTCCATCCCTATGGCTGGATTGTTAACGAGCTCACCACATGACCTAAACATTCCAGGCTCGATCCCTGATGGGGTCATGGGACCATCCTGATGAAATGTCCCATACTCAGAATAAAAACAGTTTTCCAGTGTTCACTTGTTTCTAATGGTTCTCTAACTGATATCAGTTAGTGATCAAGCTCGAATTCTAATCTGCTACGGCTAAACCTAGTTTCAAATTTTTTCTAAACTAAAATCAAGGTAAGTCAGACAGTTTCAATTGTCTGTTAGTTATCTAATACACTTTTAACGTCCCTAGACACGGAATACTGCGAACAGCAGAATCCATGATGAATCCCTCAAACATCGAAAAGCGTGCATACGAAAGAAATGAGCAGTGTCACTAACAGGACTACCACTCAGAGTGAGGTCCATCTATATCCAAACACTGTTACATTAAGCATTTGGGTTGTGACTTTCCATCTTTTATGTATACATGCTCGGATCCTTCATTTTCTCAATAGCGTTTATGTAATTCATTTACTATTTTATCTTTACACTTACACAAGTAAATCTTTCGCTCTCAACAATTAACGTACCATATGCAATGTGACGCACGCATATGAATTGTACGCCGGTTTCTGTTTCATTTAGGGTTAATATTCAACGGTATGAACTTTATGATCACAACGTGTAACATTCATTTGAAACAGTCTAGTGGTGGTAAATTTGTTAACAACAGTTAGTCATTATCAACATATCAAAGGAAGGGATAATTAACCAAGAAAATTAATACAACGATTCAAGGGTTGAAATATTAAATTGAACAAGTGGAATGCATTATCCATATTTTTGGAAAAATAATTGGGACTTGATGAGAAATAAATCAGTGCTCAAATAGATTACGTAACAAAGAATTAGAGATAAAGTAGGCAGAATAATAGAATTATTACAAAAATGATAACTACCAGATTTCTAGGAAAGAGGAAAATAATCAGGATTTCACATTCACTTAATGATGGTCAAGCTAAGGAAAGTAGCTGTATACATACAAGTTCTATACTTTACTAAATTGATCTGATGCTCGCTAGTGACTGGCCCTACTCAGGGAGTTACCTGGGGTTCTAGTGGAAAGTCGTGACCAGTAGGCTACAGCAGGTTGAAGGTGAGGCAGTAACTCATCGAAGAAGCCATTGCGAAGTGGTCGTGCTATATCGTGAATTGGCAGAAGTTAGAATTCATGAACTGGCCATTGGATCGCGTCTCAATGGCTTAATGGTCTTCGAGCTAGGTCGCCTTGTAACCAGAAGGTCCTGAGTTAGAGCCCCAGTGGGTGTGTACTGCTAGAGAGTCCCAAACTAGGACATTACAGGTGTCCAGTACTCCCTAGTGCTTTTCCAGTGGTTCTCTAACTGATGTCAGCTCATGGTAAAATCCTGTAGTCAATCAATCAAATCCCTACAAGACAAATACTTGAAAACTCTATAATGATTATTAATTAGTTAGTGGTTATGGGATTGAAATTACTGTTGAAACAATATTTAACTTTTTCAACATATATCTTCTCCATATTATATAACAATAAAGAATTTTCCACAAAAACCTTTGTGATGTACAGTTATGGTAAGAAAGACGAAATGAAATTATGTTTCATTAGAATCAAGCATACAGTGAAGTCTGTAGACTTGTAATCAAGCAACTCGAACTTAACATGAACGAAGCCCTAAAGCAATTTGTTTTCACTACCACAAAAAAAGATTGTGTTTAATTAGGTGGAAATGATTTCTAATGGAATTTCCCAGTAATTTTAACTCCTTGAGGTGTCTGTCTAGAAAGTACTGGAAAATATTTTTCAGAACTGAAACCTGTCCACTTGCATGTCTCGTTACCTAGCGAGCGGGTATTTCACTTGAAATAATAGTCACTATTGTGACTCACAATGTCATGTCAGTAGATTTTAACTGGCAAAAAGTGACCAGTTCAGCGACTGACTATTATGTGTTGTAATGCTTTTAAAATTTATTCCCATTATATGAGAAACTTTACTCTGCCTTTTAGATATGAAATGCTTCTGGATGATGCTAATGCTGCAAATCAAATGAGACATACTGAAAACGAAAGATTATGGTGTTTTTCATTCATCCAACAATTATTCAGCAAATATTTTCGTTGTCAAACTATGCAGTCAAGTAAACATTACAAGTCGTTAAATGAAAATAACATTGCTTTATCAGTTCGAAGATTATCACTGGAAGGTAACAGTCAATCACGTCATCAGTCACTTCAAAAATCAAAGACAATGTTCTCATCTTTCACTGAAGGCGATTATACATCAGATAAACTATGTCCGTCAAGCACCTCGGCGGTTGTTATTAATCCGAATATAACTGAAAGCGTACAATCTAATCATAGTAGTACTTCACAAATTTTGACATGCCCACAGTGTTCTATTAAGCTCCAATTGCCAAGCGCACAGAACACTCCAGAAATCCATCAGTATAATAGACAAAGCAGTGGAATAAGAACAAACCCTTGGATTAGCTATTCTCGATTAGAGGTAAAAAATAATAAGCCAACAAATACGATGTTGTTCCCATATTCTATTTCTAGTTCACCTACTGACAGTGGTATTTATATATGTACAGATAGTGGTTCACGATGTGAAAATATCACACGATCAACTACAGAAAATGAAATCGATAAAAGCTGTTGTCCTGTGAACACTACACCTATAATACCGATTTCTCCAGATCCTCCACCGTCACCTGCTCCTAGTTATACAGAAAACATGTTCACTTCAGAATACTTGAGTCGTGATGACACACCATTTGATATAAATGAGTATAATTGTCCAATTAGATATTCAAAAACCAATCCTACATACATTTGTAAATCAGCAACATTTGACCTGTCTAATTTAACCAGCAATACAAATGAATATAACTGCAAACCAAGAAGAAGGTTACTCACTAGAAGAGTGAGAAATCATATAAGAAACTCATGGCTGCATACAAACACAGGCTCTACAACAAAAGTGTGTGCATCGCCTATGTTACATCTTATGTCATCTTCGTCATCTTCATCGCATTCGTCTGAACATGAAGTGAATGACAATGGGGATCAGAGAATAACACGTTCTAACAGTAGAAACACATTAACTCCAGATGAACAAAATAAAAAACCAAATGTGAATTTACACACTTTTGATTTACTTTACATGAATCCTGATTCACTTTTAAGCAAAGATATTGATGACTCTGAGGACCATACTGCTCAGTTAACTCTACACAGTCAAGCAATACTAAACTCGTTAATTGAGAGTATGGAACCGAATTCCCATATAACTTACAGTTTGAGCAATACTTTCAATCCTTTTATTGGCAGTATTCAGGAAGGGGATTTAGATGATACTCTTTATGAAGATATCCAGCTGGAGAATTTGCGGACAAGCTTAAAAATTCTTTTGGAGGCTAAAAATGTAATCAATATGCAGATGAGAAATTTAAGTCAAAATTACATAAATTATCTGAAAAGTAAGTATTCAGCGACAACAAATGGAAGCCAGTATATGCATTCGTTGAATAATGATAGAAAAGTTACATAAAACCAGTAATTTTTGTTCATGACTATACGTTTATTAAATCTCCTACTCAAAATTGATGTAATGACTGTGATTTGAGCATTCTGATGAGCTTACAACATTTCGGGTGTCTTCAAATCAAGTATTAGCTTGACGAGTGTTTAACTCTGTGTAGTTAAGCTGTTAAAATATGACCGTAAATGTATCTAGAAATAATTCTTTTATTTTCTACACTAATTTTTGTTCAGATTGCTGTAATTTATTAACTCTAAGACGAATACAAAAGAGCTTGCATTGTAAAGGCCGAAAATACCCAACACTGTAATTGTATATAATTACTTTACAAACAACGATACTTTTGTTCAAATTGTATCATCTTTTCTTTTTATCAGAATTGTTCACTCTGAAGTACAATTCAATAAAACAATTATTTAAAAGCTGTAGAATTTGCGAACTATGAATATCGTCTCACTAGAGAAAAGCGAAACCAGAGTAGACAAACTTTCTTCTTTTAGAATATTGATAATCTGATTTTTTCTTTTCAATATTTCACCAGTATTAAAAATGATTTTTTTCTGAGTTTATATTGTGTTAATTCAGTTGTATTGCAAAACACTATAGTTGACTTCCGGTTTGGTTTCTAGACTATTTTAAGTCTTTGTTGGTTGTTTGAATCGGAGAGATTATTGTAAAGTTCAGGAAGGAATGTAAAATATCAGTTGTCGCAGCATAAAATATTTTCCATTTGGCTTTTTGTTATCTAAGTGTTTAAATTTTCTAAATTTCATGTGCGAATTTGATGAATGTGCATCAGACGGTGAATTCAATATTTAATAAACTGCGTTTATTAATTAGAAATATGGAAATCTATTGATTGCAGCAGCTTTAAGACTGTTCATATAATTATTTTATTTAAACGAATAAGTTGAAAAGTGTAGTGAACACAAGTTAAGGAATTTTCGTAAACCACAGTGCACTAGACAACTGCTTCTCGTAGTTCCAGACTCTCCAGTAGTGCGTACCCATGAATCATGGATTCGATCTCATGCACGGTCGTGGGTGCGCACTAGTATTAGTATGTGACGAAATCTACATCGTAGTTAGTCCTTATCTCTACAAAACCCCGTCGTCATAGTAAAAATGTGACTACAAATATCCAGACAACAGATGCTGCGAATTTCTTTAAATGGTTTCAGCAATGACTCAGTAGTTAAAAAATTACTCTAAATAATCACGATGTATTTAGAAAATCTGAATAAGATTTTCTTGAACGTTTGATTGTGTAAGCTACAGCTTCTTCAAAGGAATTGATGTGTAACTTATATTGAAGTCGGATTATCTGAATGATCTTAATAATAACAACAGCTTTATTTCAAACAGTACACACTTTCGAAGTTAATAGGTTGGTGGTGACTAGTAGTGGAATCCAGGATGCGCATTTCGTCCTATTCGGGAATCTTCACTGGATGTCGAGATGAGCATCCTGGATTCCACTGCTAGTCACCATCCACCAGTCAACTTCTAATTACACGCTAGACATCGTCGAAGCATCAGCGCAAGAAATCGACATTTCAACCCGAGACCAAGCACTTCGGTCCAATCATTTGACAGGAAAACCTAAAATTGAATTAAAGTACGTACTTTCGATACAAATATAGTATCTTCAGCATGTATACAATATTGCATTTAATTTCCTTATTACCTAATGCAGGGGTAAAAATAATTTTGTTAAATGATGTGAATACAAAACTGAAATTTAACTGAAAATACTAACAGCGATATAGTAATGACAGAAAGAATAAAAATGGCTGTTTACTTATTGTTTCTCAGTAAGTTAGTATTGTCATGCTTCACACACTTTTCTCAACACATAAAATGTGTGCCAAATAAGGTATTGTAGAGTCTTACACCTAGTGTTCTGAGCACAGAGCCTTCTATAGTTGCTTCTATTCCCACCTGATGAGATGCAAGGACAGAGTTGTGTATAGAGAGGTTACTCAGGGTCCAACAAAATGATATTCGCTAATTCCCTACAGAAGTCTATGTATTAGTTAGCTACACACCACTCACCCTACCGACAGCTTTTAGTGCTCTTTGCAATGTAACAGATTCTTGCTTAAGTAGCCTAGGAAAGATTAAGTTGGGGAGGGGGAAGCGATGAAGAAGAATACGTCAAATGTAAGAATTAACAAACTGTAACACCAGAGACCGAGTGATTCTAGATTGTCCTAACTTCTTTACGTAGCACATTAGACCACACATCTTTCTAGAAACTAACATGATATGGGAAGACCAGGAAAGATCAGAGGAAATACGCAATCCGAAGTATTCGACATTCAACTTAGTTTCAACTTCAATGCCACCTGTGATAGTAGAATCATGTGAACAAAGCAGTTTATGCAAGTCGCACTTGCTTCTAAAAGTGAAGTTGACAACCTGACATTTGGAAGGATTGAGCTTAAGATCATTTGACTAATTTATGTTAAAAGGTTCTAATGAGAAGTTGTCTGTGCAACTGCAACTTAATGAAACAGCTCAACAAAACATCTTGTAGAATTCATATCTTCTCTTTCTTCTCACTGTTTGTTCCTCAGTCTACAAGTGTGATAATTAAGAATAGCCGTTTAACTATGTAATGTATATGAAATTTTCATCTGATGTTAACTCTGAAGCTCCTGTATTTGAAATTTATCGGTTGGATAATACGCCAAACTGTCCCTAGCCTTCATTTAAATTCCTGAATCAATCACTCTTAGTTGAAAATATTCTGGCATAAGTTAGTTTGCTTCAAATTATTGTCATTTCTGATTAATGTTGGTTGAATAATCGCAATAGTAAATAATTTGTTGCTGCTTTCCTCTTTCAAGCGTAAGACAGCATTTGTTTTTTTATGCATGGAAAACTTATCAATTAACCCTTGAATAATATATGACGTGATTGACAAGTTTTTGATAAACAACAGTTTACGTTCTTTATTATTGTAAATAACAAAATTGGCTGCGGCATAACTTTCAATTTTCAAATTACTTTGATTGGTTGTTAGGTTGTGGCCAATGTTATGCATCTAGTCTTTAGGTTGGTGCAGACTGAATTTTATCACTCTTACTTGCAATGTGGTCACTATGCTACGTGATCATGGTGCATCATGAATAGTTTTTCAATGATTTGAAGCAATAGGCAGGAAGCTCTGGACCTTGGTTTTGTGCTTGTTAGCACTCGTCAACAAGGTGAATCGGCAACCTAGAAGGGGCTCATTTCCCCCGTGAGACTCGGACGCGTGCCACCTGGTGTTGTAGTTGAAGACGTTACTACCAAGCTAGTCGGGTTTGCAATTGACCTCCAGTAGGTATTCAATGAATGTTTTGATTGGTCACTATAAATTAACAAGTGTTACGCGTCTAGTCCTCTGGCTGGTGTGATAAGCATAAAACCCAGTTCTGGTTTAATCTTTTCCTTACGTTTTGATGAAAAAGCAAGACAAACATTTGGCATTTTACGTGTGCAGGTGCTTTCAATACACTTATAATATAATTTGTTAGCATGGTGAATAGCATTGCTGATTAAATTGGGATCTCTTATTTGTATTTTCGTTTACTACTAGTGTAGATGGCTTCTTCACTTAGGTCGCGTAATTAACTTGCTTACGTTTTATACATGGTATTCCTGAAACAGATTCTGTGACGTATTTAAGTTATAGCGTGGTGTATAACAAAGTAGGAAGTAATTCTAAATCTCACGTATATCCCTTCGTTGTGAGAAAACACTAAATGAGTTTTTCCATTTCTAACAACTATTAATGTAAGAGAATTTCCGCCTAAAAACTTGTGTTTGTCATTAGCATTTAATATACTATACTTATACTCATAATACAGCGTTTTATTTGGTTCTAGTAATCATTGTAAAACGTGTGAGTGAAGAGTTGTTTAACAAAAGCAACCCATATAATCTCTGCGGTTGCAACCCTGAAAGTTTAGAATGTGATACAAACTGGACAGTAAGCAGAATTAGTTGCCGCTACCAAGTAGTAGTAGTGATGTTAGTTTGTTCTTTGTCAAGGAAATCCAAATACTTATTTACAAACAAAATTTGATCCATCATTCACCTTGGAGAATTTCTCAAGTCAACATTTTTGATAACGAATGGGTTGACATAGAAATAAATGTTGTAATTCCGTCTTCATCTATACAGATGCATACATCCTCCGTTATCCTGAGGTGGAGATTTGAAAAACTATTGAACTGAACATGGATGGATAAAAATATATCTAAAAAACTGAGTCATTCGACTCCATGGTGGAAGATAATCCTCTGAATTTGGTATGGAGTAGCCAACATATAGTGCATTCATTTACATGATGCAAAAATGGGTGTCTTCCAGTGTGAATGAGTGGGACCCCTATGGTGAAGTTACAGTATCATAACCGATATCACAGTGACCTTGAACAACCACTTGGAATTCAGATGCTAATAAGTCGCAAAATCTTTAAACGAAAATGTGTTGAAAACATTGCAAACATGATATTACTCTGGATCGTAGTCTCTCATATGTTGTAAAAATGTATCCCAGTTTCTCCAAGGATAATTCACAGGGGAATCGTAACATATCCGTTACATGTAATCATCAAGGTGGCTGCAAATAACAGCACTTTTGATCCATCGATATTCCCGACTCTCTTCTTCAACCTTGAACAAAATCCTTCCGTAGAGCTAGTGTGGGTGCCTGTGATTAGATTCATGAAGTTGGGGGAGTGATTAACATGATGGTGAACATAACATAAAGATGACATTATAATCATATGATGTGATCAAGATTTGACCGGGTATTTGCAATTAGTCATTTAACTTCCATTCTCCGGTGTGAATAGTCGCTTTTGGCATTACTAGACTCTGAATAATTGTAATTAATACTCCGATACGTCTCCTGAGGATCATTTCAATTAAACCTTTCTCTGGTGGAGTTTCATAAACTCCAAGCACCCAAACCTGGTTAAATCTCCTGGCTCCTCTGTATTACTTCTTCTTCAACATGGCTTTATCAATATTCACGACAACTCCTATCACTCCAAGACAGCCAGCACTCCTGTCTAACTTCCGTGACGTTATGTATCTACAATTTTGATATAGTTAAACAATAGAGATCAAGCTACTTTCTTCTACGCTACTGTTCCTACGTGCCTATGCGAAATCCAACAATACATGAACTGTAGGATATTTGACAAAGACAGATTAGATTGGGAGAAAAAAGTACCCAGGGAATAAGTAAAATACTCTGTCCACACTCACAAACCGATTTCCTCTTATATTACGAGTGGCACCTATAGAAATAGTTGTCTCCCACAAGATTGTATAGCCTTATCGCCATAGTATCCCCATACACACACAAGTCTTCGTGACTCCGAATAATCCATTATTTACACAAAGGTAAATTTTTTTATTTTTTACTGTATTATAGCTTGATTCCACACATTATTTTGGTACAAGTATGGAATTCTTAGCATGCGACATAGGTAGTAAATTACAATTGATATCAGGCGTGCATCGGCGGTGGATCGAACCCCAGACCATGTGAATAGTCGGCGAGCGTCCTAACCGTTGTGCTTGATCTTCATGAAACCCAACCACCAAAAACATGAACGCGAGCATAGTCTCGTTTGGAATGATCTTCTGCAGCACCCTGTAAG